TACCTACCATGTGCTCCGCCTTTTTGAGCATCTCGTTGTGAAAAAGTAATTCGTGAATTTATGTGATCCAAAAACGGCAGTCAATTACTTCTTTGAGTCACAGCTCCCATACTTCTGGGGAGATGGCATCAGTGATTGGCTCAAAGGATGAAAGAAGGTCGTTGACTTCTTCGGTAAAAATTTTTCCGAAAATTGATTAAAATGACAAAATTTAGAAATGATTAAAAAAAGATCTCCATTTTGTCGCAGAACTTATTTGCCAACCTAATAATTTGGTTAGCACTACCAGAAGATAGTGAGAAGAAGGGAACCTAGAAAGCTGACCTGGCGAAGGTTTACAAATGTTGAAAAAAAATTTTGGCCTCAATTACCCCCATTGCCCGGGGAACGTCCTACAAGTTAATCACCCTTGCTACCGTGTTCACACTGTTGATACAAATCATCAACGCTTCAAATTTTTTGTCGCAGGATTTATTTGCCAACCTAATATGATGTTGACGAATATTACAGCACCTTATAACACTGTATGACCTATAGAACTAAAGGACTACCAACATTTTACCGTTCAGGCAAATTCTTCTTCCAGTTCCACACACGGACGAGAACACTGCTGGGATATACGATCATATATCGGAGAATTACGAGGCTGGGAGGTTATCAATTCAGTACCTCCATCCGATATCAAGTCAAAAGAGCATAGGAAAATTTGTTATCCTTATCAGAACTATCTTCCCAGTACATCAGGATAGAGCATCGTGAAAGCATTCAGCAGTCCCAGAACATTCCCTTCCCAGATATCTTGGAAAATGTCCAAGAAGAAACAGTTCGAAAAGGGATCCTCAGCTGACAAACAGGGATGCCGTCGACATTGGCGAAACAAAAACAAATTTGCCATAGTTGGATAATGTCCTTTAGGTGTTCAGGAGGACGTCCTGCATGGAGATCTATCTTCATATTGATAGACACCTTAGTCCTATCAGAAAAAAAATAATCGGCTATAGTGAAAAATTCCAGACTGTACTTCGCTGATAAGGGATTCTCCCTATAAAAGCACACTCCCTATAAAATTGGCTCGATCGCCTTCAGATTCAGTCCACGAAACTGAGACATAGCTCCCAGTTGCCCATCACCTTCTCAGGGAAAGGTTTCCAATCATGACTCTTCAGCCCATTAGGGAAAATTTGAATCATAATCGATTCAAAGTCCATAACTTTCCGACAACGCAGCATAGGCTCTTTAGCGTTAGATGACAGGTATACTATCCAACCTTTTTCCTCTATGTTTCTTCAACATCCCTCAGCTTAGCCTAGGATAGAACAAAACTTGAAGTATTAGTGAGGCACAGTCTCAAAAATTCGGAACTCTTCACCTCTTTTCCCAAATATCTTATGAATTTGTCAATTCCTATAAGCCTATAAAGATGGCGGTGTAAAGTTCATGACAAGTTAGGCATAAGTAGCGTTCAATAGAAATAAGCCTGTGATTCAGGTCAAGAACGAAGAACACTATGATAGTTCTGTTTGCCATTTTGGCCACTGCCCTGGCGGATGTGCACCATATGCAACTCACCCGAGTGAGTAGTGTTTTAATAATGTTATCTTTTTGTCGAACTACATAGCTCATATGGGAGCTCAAATTGGACCTACCGCAGGCCAAAATGTACCGTCTCAGGGGGCTTCACCTACCTACTGCCAGCCAAAATGTACCGTATGTGGGGGTTTCTTCTCTGAAGGGCTGTATGACGCTCCCATGAGTGAGTCAGAGTTCTTGGAGGCAGTGGTACAAAACGTTCATAATGTCTTACCTGCACTATTTTTCCTTAGGACAATCCGAGTACAGTCTTACCACGACCCACCGCAATTTCTTCCCTGTAGGAGATCCGCAATATCGTCGTACCGTATCGCAAAATGAGTCTTTAAGGTAGGCAACTATGACGGAGTCAAATACTTGGCTGATGTTAGCATCGGCACACCGGCGCAGAATTTCAAAGTAAGTTTAACATTCACTTGCTTCACGTAGTGAACGCTAACAGCCCTCTCAATTAGGTTGTTCTGAGTACGACATCGGCCAATTTCTACGTAAACAGTGCTTACGGCAAGAACTTTTTCAACTCGACAGCTTCGGAAACTTATGAGAAGCTGGATGGAAAATTCGTTGAAAAGGTAGACCACTTCAAGACCTTTACAGTACGAAATTTGAAGAATGCGTCAGAAATCCAATAATTCTACCCATCAAAAATTGAATTGACACCTTCTATTACTAACAATATTTACAACTGATTATAGTTATCGTTTATGGATCATTTCGGAGAGTTTCATGCCCAGTCAACTCAAAGATTCTTCAAGAACTTGTAGAGTTCTCGATCTAAAAGTTCTGAACAACCTTATCGCCTTGAAATTCCATAGGGCTAGTGGGTCAAAATTGCAGAAGCCTTATTCTCTTCACGGTATCGATTACTCTGAGCTGCTCATGACACTGACGCCGAATACGTATCGATTTACATCCCATTAATGGTGAGGTCGAAGTCGTAAAGCATTACCAGAGTTTGATTGGGATTCAACTATACTACCCATACCACAAGAGCCAGCTCTATTACCTACTTTCTTTTTCCTGTTCAGGATAGGAAGATAGGAATGGGGAAGTCTCTAAAAAAACTCGTGCAATAACGCTCGAACCTCGAGTCATAAAAGTAATTGAGTTCCGCGTAGACTTGTCATTTGAAGAGTGCTTTTTAGTGGCCGGCAGATGTAGAAGGAATTGTTGGAAAGGATACAGTACGACTTGGCGCTGACGGACTCGTCATTCCAGGAACCATTTTCGGACAAGCCGCAAAGTTCAGATCTATTTTATTGAACGTAAGTGAAATATCGGCGGAGGTGAAGGAGTATAGACCTGATAACCATTTCCTGCACTTCGTCGAAGTGAGTCCTGAATAGTCGTACTTTCCTCCCTGAAGCTTATAAAAGTTAGACTCATTGCATGATCAAGCCGTTGCTTAACGACACTATCGACTCAGCCCTAACAATCATCAGCACTTCCCGAGTGGATGTCAAAACTGATATTCTTCATACGAAATTACTTCGCATCCTTTACAGTACGATGTCGATGGCGTTCTTGGATTGGGATTCCCTGCTCTTGCGGCTGGTGGAATTACTCCTCCAATGACTCGAGCTATGGACCTTCATCTTCTGGATGAACCTCTGTTCACCGTCCACATGAAGGCAACCAATGGTGAGTGGCTTAAAACTATCACCTTGAGCCCATAAAAGCTTCGTATTTTTCGGAACATTGATTGATCGGTTTATCAGTCTACCTAACTGTGACTATGCGCAATGAATGGTCTACCCATGCCATGCCACCTGCCACTGTTCGCGATACATGGAAGATAATGAGCTTTTTCTCCTCAAACCTGACCCAGTCATAGTTGACAATTATTTTAGTCTTCTACAAATTTCAATTAATTGTACCACTTAACTGCAACCAAAAGTCAAGCACAACCTCACTCTCTTGTTTGTAAGCATCATTTTCTCTCCTATTCCCTATTGTGATAAAGCTAAATGTAGGGGAGGGGAGAGCACCCTCAGTCGGTATAGATCAACGCCAGACTTTGTCCTTTTTTTATGAAGTAAGGTTTCGTGGTCTAATCAACCTCGTGAAAAACCCTACAGACAAGAACGTAGTCATAAAGCTGGCAAGATTGAAAGTTCCAGACAAAGAAGGCGGTGTTGCAGGTCTCGTCACATACGGTGCTGTCGACACAGCCCACTGCGGACAGATACTTGCCTACGAGCCTCTAACTTCGAAAACACACTGGCAGTTTGCGGTACTCGAATAACACAACTTTTGGAATCCTTGAAATATTTCAGCTGCCTTCGTTATAATCGATGCAAATAAGCTAGGGCTAAAAGGATTGTGTAATTTCTATGGGCAAACCGTTCCAGATCACTTCTGTGAAGTCAGGAAAGTACCATTCGACTGCGAAGTGGGCCGCCAGATCGGACACCACGAATCCTTTCATAGAAATACCGGCCCCGGAGGCAGCAGCAATTGCTGATGCACATGGAGCAAAAGTGAGTAGTATCATTAAAACGCTGTTGAAGAAGATTTGTTCTGATGTGAATTGATGACTATATCGGTTGTGCTCAAGAAGTGGGTTTTACCTCAATTCATTCTGAAGGATTGAAAATCCCTCTGACGAAAATCAATTTTCTTTGGAGGTGGCAGAAGCGTCCCAATATTTGCGTTCGATTAGGAAGGTATTCCCCGTAACTTGAGCAGAGTACTTTGGCGTTTTAATATTTCGAAGTCTTTCCATTTCACTAACAAAGAACAAGTGCATGGCTTACTGCAAAAATCGAACGCGTAATCCTTCATTCCGTTTTCAATCATGGTCTTTCAGTTTGATAACGGCCGTGGCCATTATGTTATCGACTGCCAGGCAGAAGCATCAATGGAATTGATGATTGGACAGCGCAAATACACCATCGAAGCCAAGAATTTCGTGGTGTCAGCACCTGACGGCCGCTGTGTGCTGGCGCTCAAACCGTTGAATACGATGACCTTCGGCTACGTCATGTCTCTAGGAGTGCCATTCCATCGCCAGTTCTGTACAGTTCATGACTTCGGACATGAAAGAATTGGTTTAGCAGATTCCTTATAACACTATACCCACTACGGATTCTGTAATTGTCGTAAATATGTGAATGGCTATAATTTTGATTTTTTCAAAATTTTCTCTTTTGGAATCAATAAATGTCATCACATAGTGTTCTACAGGGTGTTTCAAAATTATGGGCGCCGAATCATGGCAATGTAGTTGAAGCTTCTCTACTGTAAATGACAATAGAATCTATATGCACGTTTGCTAAGATTATGTGCTACATCATGCTGCAATCTCATTTCTAAACACCCTCCATGAGCGCGGATAGGGCCCAAGGTTTGCTTACGAACCCCTCGCATGTTGCACGCAGGTATCTTCCTCAGATTCTTCCCCGCCGTTCTTTAGTCTTGCTTTCTAGGACTTCAAACTGAGACTGGGAAACCTACAACTGAGATTACAAACGCGACAGGTTCTCTTCTAATCAGTGACCATACGGAAGGGTCAAGTGAGTTAAGATCTGGAGGCCAGGATGACCATTCCTCTTTGCTAATGAAGTCGCGTAGCTAGCGCCGGCACCACTTCCGGGCTGGCTTGGCTCTGTGGGCTGGAGTACCGTCCTGTTGGAAAGACCACGAGCTGTTCCAGGAGTGCAGTCGGATCAGTGCTTAATTACGCCCATCAGTATGCCCTTTGAGTACAGGTCTTTGTCATTTTCCATGCCTGTGGCGACGAAACCACGGTCGTCTTACTCTTGCCAGTGACTTCCTCAGAAAAAAACATTATTTCGCTATTTGTATGAACTTTTTGTGAGAGATTACACGTTCCACGTTTGTAGCTAGATCGTGATCGTTTCATTGTTGAGGAATGGTTGTAGCGTGTAATATCTAGCCAGAAAGAACGATGGAAGGTTGCGTGTCACCACTGAAGTGAGTTAGCAACCATCTGCATTTTTTGGCCCTGTACTGTCTGTTGCATCGAAATTGAAGCGACATTTCTGCATACGGTATGAACGGCAACAAGTTTTCGGTTGACAATCCGCACTACCGATATGTTCAATAAGTCCTGCTCCTTTGCCGTCTTTCGGGTGGGTCAGCCAGAATCACGATCGACTCGCGAACGGACTATTTTATAGTCCTTTCTTCAGAAACATTGGCCTTTCTACTTCTTCAAGGTTTGTCTTTGATTGAATCTTTTTCTCTGTATCGCTTTATAGCCTCCTGTAAGCCTAAGACACTAAATGAGCCTCGCCCATCCAAAAGGTGTCGGGAATTTCACTTCAGCAACCATGCGTGTTGCACCTTATGCAGTCAGCCAATAGCGGATGGAGTGAATTTGGTGGATTACTTCTACCTCAAAATTTTCTAAATTTTGGCGCCCGTAGTTTTGGGACTTGTAAGAGTCGCAGCGTGTAGGAGATGTTGTGTGACACGTTACAACCCACCCTCCTTTTATCTGCAAGATTTTTGAAATGACAAACATGCGACTTTTGGGACAACATTGTCCTACATCACGACGCCCCCATTCTCTTGAATCATCCGATTCAGTCGAGAGTGCTCTTCACACTAGTGATTGACGCAATACACAAAGATCAAGCACGGTGTCACCTGGAGAGAACGCTCGCTCAGAGTGCTCCTCTGAATCCTATTAAATGCGGTCCTTTCACCTCTCATTAGAAAAGCTGATTGAGAGGGGTAGGAAGGGATTCAATGAGCCCTTGAAATGCGCTGTATACCAGCTCAAATATGCGAATTCGTGATATTTACCAACCGTAGTCCATTCCTCCCTGTCTTTCACAGTCACAGAAGGGAAGGGGTGCAAATAAGCGAGATGCAGCTACAATGAAGATGTTGTTGGATGATGATCCAATGTGGTGATTGTAATCGAGGGACGACAGATACGACTGAATGGTGGAGGCACTAAAGTCGTCCGCGAGAAAGTGGCTTTATTTTCTATTGCACATATGTAGTGTGGTTTAGATTTATTCTAGTCTGTTCAAAGTACCCATAAAATTACACTCAATCTGACAGTACCGTCTATATTGTAGTTCTCGACCTCTTTCTCAACCTTGTATTTCTTATGTTTGGAATGGGGTTAAGCCACATCCTCCCAATTGCTAACATCCGATTCGGGTTGTTCAGCTTTCGTACGAATCGATGTTCATGATCGAAAGCGTGTTGACGATGACGCCTACATCGCGTACGCCACTGCTGTCGCATGTTCCAAAAAACAATTTTCTCCAGTTTCAAATTGACAACGCGCGGTGCCCTCTCGTCTCGGTCAGACCGATGACGTCGTACTCAGTCTTCCTGGCTTGCCCGCGTAGTATGGAGAGCTGGATGCGAATGTTCAAAGAAGGAAGAACGGAGACAAGAGAAGGCCGAGGTGGTGCTCACAATGTTCAAAGGCTGAGCGCAGGGACTATACCATTGTCGAACTTGGCCGCGAGACCGGCATTCGTGCTACTTGTAATGGAGCCTAGGCTCCCGTCGGTTTTAGAAGGAATTAGTCCTTACCTTATGAATTCTCGTTGTCGAGGTGTCGAGCGTATGGGCAGCAGCCGCCCACTGTGGCGGTACTGTCGAAACTGCCCTCCTAGATCCTTTCGATTGAATGACGGGATGAGTATTGTAAAGACTACATGGCCCTAGGTAAGCTTAGGGAATAAGAGCTTCATTATCGATTTGAATGTCCATACACAGATAGCGATTTGAATGTCCATACATAGATAGAGAAGGTCAACGAAGTGTACTACTAACATGACTACGATTACTATGTACGACTCTTTCACCTGGGCACTGAGCCCTCCTTTACATACTACAGTTGGCCGAGTTGTGTCTAAAGAATTGAACATGGTCAAGAAGATGTATGTATGGGTACCTCATTTACTTCTGTGTGTATGGTGGTGGACAGCGATGTGGACTTCGAGTTGGGACGGCTGGGCTGGGCCGGTGGTTCGGATCGTCGAGACTTTGCCGTTTTTGCATTTCATGGTGCCACCTCCAGATTGGCTCTATATTGCACC